AATTAGAAACAAAAAAGGTTTGCAGACTGATAAAGTAAATTAAATACAATTGTTATTACTTAAGTTTTTTAGAACACCATGTTTTAAAGAACCTAGAAATGCATACACTGATCTCAAGAAACTGTCCAAAAAATACAGGCAAAAATTATTTTTGAAAAGACAATAAAATTTTTGCTGAACCTAAAAACCACAAAAAAAACTTTATTTTTAACTTGTGTATTTACTTATATCCCACATATATAGTTTGTGTGTGTTACAGTTTCCGAAATTCAATAAGAAATTATCCAAAAAATCTGAGCCACATGACTAGCTTTCATTTTGCTGCTGTACGCTGAGTGTAAAACAGATGCAAAGGAACATCACTTGCATTTCACCCAGTAAACTCAAATCATGCAAGTATTTGCACAACACACCTCCCTATTTTCATTTCCTCCAGTATTCAGTCTTGCATTTCCACTCATGCAACAGTTGTGTATAGTATTCATTCATTTGTTCAAACAGATTTGATCAAATTATTAAACGTCTGCTATATGTGGATTTAAATGCTAAAAATATACATTAGATTGCCTAGCAAAGAGGATTAAGAAATGTACATTGACCACTTCACAATATTTTTTCTTCCTTCTGATGTTCTTTTCCTCTCCAAATGTGGGTTTAATTTAATAATGTCATTTCTGTAGGACATAAAACACATAAAGAAGAAATGTGAGTATATCAACGCCTGTCTTGTCTCATGTAATTTATTGCTTATGAGGTAAACGGCACACTTATGTCTCACTGAAGTGTATTCTTTGTGCATCCGTCCGTGCTTTAATCTTTTCCATCAAATGATTTGAAAATTTCTGATTAGAATATTTACTGTTAATGCGTGACTATCACTATCAAGGTTTTTATTCATTTATTTATTTGCATACATAAAAGATGTATATTTAATGCGCATTCACATATGCACGGGAAAACTATTTTATAAAAATATTTTTTTATATATATAAAAGCTATTCGCAACCTTTCCCCCTTTAAATTCATTGCAAACGTTGTAGTGCATGAAATATTGCATTGTTTTATTTGCGCTAAAGCGGATACAGACAAGCAGTGCGCCGGTCTATCAGGTGCTGTGTGTTTGTGCGCGTGTATGTGTGTGTGTGTGTGTGTGCGTGTGTGTGTAAGACAGCGGCTCGCGATGTCCACGCTCTCCACCACTGTTCTGGTGATCCGATAGTTGTGAAAAGCCACCACTAGTCGCCCCCAGTGCTCTTGCAGTCTCCAATTTTCTTTCCCACTGTAGACTTAACGTCACGTCCGCACTTGAACTTGAATTTTATCCCATTGTACGGAGGCAGCCCTCGCCACAGAGACACAGAGAGCTCCCGGAGAAGCAGGACTCCGCCATCTTCATAGAGGCAGAAAAGGGAGAAAAAAAAGCTTCATTCATTTGTAAAGGAGGTGGCAAGTCCATGTCCCTGGTCTCCAGTGCGCAAAACCGAATAGGGGAGCAAGTGCAAAGAGTTGGAGAGAGTGCAAAGTAACCGGGCATCGCATTCACTTAGAGCCCAGGAGAGAAGAAGAACTGTCCAGTGCTTGGCACACTCAAGTGCCAACTCAAGGAGACTCTGGATTCGTTTCATCCAATCTAATAAGTAATTACCATTTTTCTTTTTTAGAATTATTTTGACTCGGAGAAAAAAAAAAAATCGAATTGCCTTTGACAAATCCACAAGGCGCAGAGCGGACGAAGAGAGAGCCACCAAGAGGGTCCAACCTACCCAAACGCACCGGGCATCACGTTCTGAGACATTTCCAGTGGTTTCTTCACAACTGTCACTCGTCAAGGATATTTTCGCCCTCGGACAGATCGCGCTCGGCACACAGCTGAAGTGCATGTGTGTGTCGCTGAGGTACTGAGCGTCTGAGCGTCTCTGGTCATCTGGAGAGCCGGAGCGCAAAGACACATTCGCTTTTCTCACATTCACGGGACCCCTATCTGTATCCACGGCCCGGAGCTGTGGCAGTTCTTTGGAAGTCCCGGGAAAAGTTAGATACCGAGGGGGGAAAAAGCCCACGCCACGGACACAGGGCAGAAGGCGCGAGCCGACTATTCCTTGTGCGGGTCTCTGGGCGATGCCAGTGTAAATGCCAGGGCAATGTCCCGTCGCAAGCAGGGAAACCCTCAGCATTTGTCGCAAAGAGAAATTATAACACGTAAGTCCATCTTTTATTTTACTTATTTGTGTTTAAGATGTTGTTCGATCATTTTCGGCCATTTTTTTGTAATAGGAGTAACGATGTGTGTGTGAGAGTTTATGTGGTGTTAGTAATTATTTCATTAAAATGCGATGAATCTTTATTTTTAAAAAATACAATAACATAGAACAGTTAAATGAATTAAATTAAGATATTTATAGCTTCAGCTGTTAGCAAACAGTCAGGTTTATGAGCTTGGTGCTACTTAAAATAATTAAAAAGTGATTTGGTTGAAACTGAATTCAAAGAATTAAATACAGCAATTTTTTGGACTTGCTTAAAATACAAATCTTTCATTTAGTCTGTATTGTTTAAGTTTTGTTGTTTAATTTTAATATCAGATAGTTTGATTAATGTAAGAATTGTTAGCAGGCCAGGAGATCAGATTAAAAACTTTAAATTGCAGCGATTAATCAAGCACTTGCAAAGTTTCTGTAAAGTTAAGTTTAGTTACCTTAAATTAAAGTGTAGGGTAAGTGAGGTGCATGTTATGTTAATATTTAAGCATAATTTAATAAATTATGCTAATTTAGAGTGAATATTGAGTATTTTTATTTTCTCTACTTTAATCCATGTAAGATTTGGGCCTTTATTAGGCTATATATGGTTATTAAAATAATTTATTGCAATATATATTTTTTAGTTCTTTTATTTATTATTATTTTTTGTTACTTTCAAAAAGTGGCATGCTTGAGTTGTAGGCCTTTCTTCTTAAACCCTGATGCAATGAAACTTTATGTATCATTTTTCGTTTTATACCAAAGTCTTTTGCACTTTTTACAAGATATTTGTAGTAGTTCTCAAGGTGAGCAGCTACCTGTAACCACCAAGCACAGGAACGGTTTAAGGTTTTACTTTTGCTGCACAGATGCAGTGAGGTTGTTGTTGTTATTTTTTTAAGACTACGTAAAATTGATTGTAATTATACAACATTTGTGCTTTTAAATCTTAGATGTGCACTTGAATGAAAAGAGGTGTCAGAGCAAGGAAAATTATTTAAATGAAATTCATTTGACATTGTAATGTCAAATTAGGTGATACAAATGTCAAGCATGCTTAGTTTTACTCAAGTAGTTTTACTTTACTGTAATACTAAATAAATTGGCTTCTTACACAAAACTCATCTTTTTATACAATGCTTTTATTTTTGGTGAGAAAACTGAAGTTTGCTAAATCAGTACGAGTGTACAAAGAAACAAAGCAGGCATAGGTCTAATGATGTTTCTCACACTTAGCTTTGCCCCCGAGTCAAGGTTGTGACTGTGAAGTGAAGGTAATGTGAGGCAGACACTGAAATCGAGAGAATCTTCTTGACAAAGTTATATTCAAAGCCAGCAGTTATATTCTAATGCTTGATATAATTTACCTTTTAGATTTTTTACATCATTTGCAGAAAATAGCTCCAGCAATTTATTTTCAAACAGTGAATTTTTCCTAGAATGCATCTGTTGCAGTTAAAAAAATCAAATCACTTAAAAGACAATGAAATCTGTCCAGATTTAGTTTCATATTCATGCTATAGTGTAGTCTACAGAACCTAGATAATTCATAGCAGAGCCTAGTCATGTAATACCACCCAAATCTGTTTTGTGTTGCAGGGTTAGGGCCATGTATGCTGTGCATATATACACTAACACGCACCATTCTTTCGCTAATGGCTTAATCTGTTACTGTACATACACATATGTACACGGTTGCACTGTAAACATTTAGCATGCCTGTGCATTGTGTGTTTGAATTTACTGTTAAGGTTTACAAATATAACTTACGACTTACGAATATGACTATGACTTATGAATGAATGAGAATGGAGATGTTATTTAAAGCTTAATGCACATTATCTGGCTTGCATTTCATGTAGTTAGCTTTGCTATAGGGCATGCACAGCTCTTTTTGTATTTCGTCCGCATATGCGATTATGACTGTAATTTATAAATATTTTTTCCATATTTAATTGTGCACTAGCATGCAAACCGTTTGTGTTTACTGCATAAACACCATCCGTTCAAAATGCATGTAAAACAATCATCCTAGTTTAGTAGAAAATGGCCCTTTTTGAATTTCTGTCGCTATAGTTATCACATGTCCCATCAGTCATTGCATGTACAATGGCTGTGGTTATTAATTTGGGCTTTAAATTTCAGAATGCTCCAGTTACACCAAGGAACTTTCCCTGAGTGCTTTCTCTCTCTCTCTCTCTCTCTCTCTCTCACACACACACATACTCACAAACGGACACAAATGCAGACGTGCACAGAGTAAAGTATACGCCAGTTTAGACATCAAGCTTTAGTATTTTTTTATATGCACACAGTAAGAGAGAGAGAGAGAGAGAGAGAAAGGAAGGTGGTCGACTTTCTACTTCTTAGAAACTAGAGATTGAAAGGTGTTCATTGCATCACTGGTGAATGAATATATAAGCTTCAGAGAGGGTCCTCAAACGTATCATGCCTTAGTGGGTTTAATGCGGAGGGCATGTAGGCCAGGTGCTAGCAGATAGTCATCTGCGCTCAGGGGTGCGTTCTTTCCTCGTAGTTCAGATTTCTCATCACATGCTGATTGTGGCTATGATTTTGATGTAACGAGTTTTTTTATTTGTAGTAGGCAGCGTATGAACTCTTCACGCATACTGGTGTGTGTGTGTGTGTGTGTGTGTGTGTGTGCGCGCAAATGTGCAAGCTTAAAGACCCTTGTTCGCTCTTATTCCGTTTGATATGTGGCTGATTATGTGAAATAGATTCTTGTAGAGCAGGAATATGTGGATGACAGTTGATATATCTGGTTTTTCTCTGTAATAGTTAAATTGTCAAATTTTGCTTTAAATGTCAAAGTCAAAAGCAGTGTGGTCCCAACCTCAGTTTCATTTTTGAGGACATATTTGGAGCTGTAAACAAGGGTGTGTGTGTGTGTGTGTGCATGTCTGCTCGTCAGCATGTCTTCTGTGGTATTTAGCTTTTGTTAACCACGGTGTCTTAGCTGGATTAGCCTTGAGTTATTGAGAGGCAATTTTTGTCTGTTCAAGTGTGTGTGTGTGTGTGTGTGTAGTTTACGTCCACATGCTAATTTATGTGTTCTCGGCGTGAGCGATCTGCAAACTTTGCAGTGCTGTACATCAGTAGTTTTAATGGTTTGGCAGCCTGTGGTTGTGTGCTACATTACGCCACTCAAACACATATTCTATAAACCCAGTTGTTTATTAGTTATGCGTGAAATGCAACCAGTTGCAGTGTTTAACGCATTTTCGCATTTCCTTTACATATGCTGGGATTTTCATTATATGCTATTAACTGAAGGGTATTTTACAATTTTGTAGTTTTTTTTTTATTTTTAGTAAGAATTAATTCTGAATATCACATGCCTTCCAAACCCTTAACGTTCAATAAGTTACTGTAATTTGCTGACAAATTTCTAAATGTTTGCATTCACATGAGCGTGTCGTCACTGAATTGTCCGAATTTATATAAAATTTTTGACACCTGTTCAATTTTTCATATCATTGCACAGAGTGTGTTTTCTAATGTAGTGCTTTAAAATAAACATAATAGTGAGTTAACGGATGTCGTCTTTAAATGAAGGAAATCAGATGACAGCGAGAAGGATAATTTTCCTCCGGTGAGCTGCAGAATTATGAAGTTGTAACATACATTTTCAGATGCATGTTTCACATTAGATCTGCCAGCACAGGAAACTGTCTTTATCAGAACTTTGCTTTGAATGCATTTAGGACATACATTTTAGCCATGACTTCATGTCATCACATCTGAGAGATTTATATTTATGATAATAGCTTGTACTGAAATGCATTCTTTCTTGTTTAGATATAAACAATAACATATTTGATTATAGTAAAAAAAAAAAAAAAATGTCAAGATATCACTATGAATTTGGAGACAGACACAGGCGTTAATGCAAGAGAGGTGTGCAGCAGCAGAAATCCAGAATCATTGTCTTTTCTTTTTGTTTCTTTTATTTATTTATTAATTTAACAAATTTAAAAGGTTTGCTTATTCATTGTCATTTGCATGTATGAAATAGGCAAGGTTTTATTTAGAATTAAACAAGGCATATTTTAATTCAAACTAATCAGGTCTGAAAATATGTTCAAGCTTGCTATTTAAATGCTTATTTGATTTATTTCTGTTACAGTTCAGGGAATCAAATATCCTTGTTTCTATCTCTGGGTGCTGAATTGGGCCACTTTACATTTGCAGTGCAGAGTGTGCTGGCCATGACCTGCTAGGGGGAGCTCTAAGTCTGCCAGAGGGGGTGGAAGGCAGTTCTGAAAAGTGTAAAAACATATTTCCTAAATGCACTTAAATGGGTAAGTCGAGTGAAATAGGGGGCTGCGGCTTCCGACGACTTGGCATAGATGTTTCAAACGATACTGCCATTAACACACATGCTCAGATGCAAACTGTCAACGCCTCACAGCAGCAGCTGGTCTTACAACATGAAGGCTCTGTCATTCTCTTTCCTTTTTTTGACTTTGTCTTTAGCACTCAAGAACTTATTTAATTATTTACAGTGAGAGCTGGATCGCTTCTCGGTGCTCATTTAGATGTGTAATACGTATTTGATAGGTGTAGCTTTAACTATAGATAGGACATCAAGCGTGACACCAAAACAAACAAATTTAGGCTGAACGTCACCTCGTTCGTTTTGCCAAGTGTGCTTAAAAAGTGAATGATGAAGTGGCTCTGGAACTTGTGGGCCCCTCTGACTGAGGACCTATTGTTCTTGCCATCTAAATAAATAAATTTGACTCTGTGATATAAAAAAAATGGTAGCCTCTACAGAGCTTACACTCTCCCCATAACAATGGGCAAAATGTCTGCCTGGCACGTTTGATTAATACGCTTGCATATTCTCTATTTCTTTCAGTTTCAGGTGGCTTTTGTTTGCGCCACGAGCGGGAGAGTGAGAGAGCAACAGAAAGCCGTCTCTGATGAAATGTACAG